TGTGTTAGCCAGGATGGTCTCGATCTCCTGACCTCGTGATCCACCCGCCTCAGCCTCCCAAAGTGCTGGGATTACAGGCGTGAGCCATCGCGCCTGGCCCAGTCTAGGTTTTAATGCAAGTGCACTACCTCAATAGGGAACATATGCTACATCAATGGGTGTATTTAATTTGCAATAAAGATACAAAACTTAGTTTGGAAGAATCAACTAGACCAAAAATATAATTCTGGAACCTGCAGGGTCCTAGCCACAAATGCAACATTCTAATGTCTAAAACATTTGTATGTTCAAAGGTAAAAGTAATTTTGCAAAGATATTGACTTTAGTTCCTGCTTTCCTAGGATTACATAAATCCCCATTTTACAAGTAGGAAAACAGAAACAGAGAAAGGTTATGTCCTTCTAATTCCTATGCACATCATCCAGTCCATCTGCTCAGACAATGCCTGCTTGCCCTGTTAATTTTCCTAATTTTTTTTTTTTTTTTTTTTTTGAGATGGAGTTTTGCTCTTGTAGCCCAGGCTAGAGTGCAGTGATGAGACTTGGCTCACTGCAACCTCTGCCTCCCAGGTTCAAGCAATTCTCCTGCCTCAGCCTCCCGAATAGCTGGGATTATAGGTGCCCACCACCATGCCCGGCTAATTTTTGTATATGTAGTAGAGACAGCATCTCACCATGTTGGCCAGGCTGGTCTCAAACTCCTGACCTCAGGTGATCCACCCACCTCAGCCTTCCTAAGTGCTGGGATTACAGGTGTGACACTGCACCCAGCCAATTTCCCCATCTTTTAAAAATTTTTTTGAGACAGTCTTGCTCTGTCGCCCAGCCTAGAGTGCAGTGGCGCCATCTCGACTCACTGCAAGCTCCGCCTCCCGGGTTCACGCCATTCTCCTGCCTCAGCCTCCTGAATAGCTGGGACTACAGGCATCTGCCACCACACCCGGCTCACTTTCTGTATTTTTAGTAGAGATGGGATTTCACCATGTTAGCTAGGATGGTCTTGATCTCCTGACCTCGTGATTCGCCTGCCTTGGCCTCCCAAAGTGCTGGGATTACAGGCATGAGCCACCATGCCCTGCCTTCCCAATCTTATAGACCAAATTATTTTAGCAAAACAAAATAACTTCTAAAAGTCAGTTTTCACTAATCTCATTTTCTGAGGAGCTAAGAAATACCAAAAGGTTTTATCAGGTGTTTGAACTGCGATGTTTTAAAATAGCCTCACTTGCCTGTATAGGTGGTCACCCACCAACTCATGTAATGTAACTTTTGGTTGACATCGAATACATACTTGAAAGTGGTCATAATTTAAGAAAAACATGACTGACATTTTACAAAGGCTCTCTACCTATCTGCTTTTTCCCCTCAGTTTGTGGACTATCAGCCCGTACAACAGGAGGGCGTATATATGGAGGGCAAAAGGCAAAACCTGGTGATTTTCCTTGGCAAGTCCTGATATTAGGTGGAAGCACAGCAGCAGGTGCACTTTTATATGACAACTGGGTCCTCACAGCTGCTCATGCCATATATGAGCAAAAACATGATGCATCCTCCCTGGACATTCGATTGGGCGCCCTGAAGAGACTATCGCCTCATTATACACAAGCCTGGGCTGAAGCTGTTTTTATACATGAAGGTTATACTCATGATGCTGGCTTTGACAATGACATAGCACTGATTAAATTGAATAACAAAGTTGTAATCAATAGCAACATCACGCCTATTTGTCTGCCAAGAAAAGAAGCTGAATCCTTTATGAGGACAGATGACATTGGAACTGCATCTGGATGGGGATTAACCCAAAGAGGCTTACTTGCTAGAAATCTAATGTATGTCGACATACCAATTGTTGACCATCAAAAATGTACTGCTGCATATGAAAAGCCACCCTATTCAGGGGGAAGTGTAACTGCTAACATGCTTTGCGCTGGCTTAGAAAGTGGGGGCAAGGACAGCTGCAGAGGTGACAGCGGAGGGGCACTGGTGTTTCTAGATAATGAAACACAGAGGTGGTTTGTGGGAGGAATAGTGTCCTGGGGTTCCATGAATTGTGGGGAAGCAGGTCAGTACGGAGTCTATACAAAAGTCATTAACTATATTCCCTGGATCAAGAACATAATTAGTAATTTTTAATTCGCATGTCTGCAGTCAGTCAAGGATTCCTCATTTTTAGAAATGCCTGTGAAGACCTTGGCAGCAACGTGACCTGAGAAGCATTAATCATTACTATGAACATGGCAGTTGTTGCTCCACCCAAAAAACAGACTCCAGGTGAGACTGCTGTCATTTCTCCACTTACCAGTTTAATTCCAACCTTACCCACTGACTCAAGGGGACATAAGCTACGAGTGATAGTCACCTTTGCCAACCCAATGTAATGTCACTGCTCAAATTACATTTTGTTACTTTAAAAGGCCAGTCTCTTTTCATACTGGCTGTTGGCATTTCTGTAAACTGCCTGTCCATGGTCTTTGACTGTTTTTAAACTTGTTCTTATTGATCTCTGTAAGTGCTTTATATATTATAGCAGTATTGATTCAAGGATAACCTTGAATCTTTTGGGGTAGGTAGGCTGGAAACACAATACTTCAGCCCAGGTACCAACTAAAATTTCCATGTTAAAAACCAATACCACAAATTGGTGGGATACAATTATTCACTTATCAAATTGTCAGACAAAAGGAACGTGAATAGTAGTACTATTTCATATTGTTAAAGACAACATAAACTTCCCAAAGGACTATTTGGCAATACATTTTAAGCAAGACCAGGCATGTTCAGGGAGAGTGGCAGGCCATAGACTGGCAATACATTTCAAAAGCCCTTAAAAAGCATGCATAATCTTCGACTTAGCAATTTCAATGCTAAGAATTTATTTTAGCAGTAAAGATATTCCCAGCAATTGGAAATAACCTGAATAATGTTCAAATTCAGAAGACTGAATCAAAACGTGGCATTTCCACAAGATGAAAAATGGCATTAGAAATAAGTGGTGACGTTATAGATAAATCTGTAATTTTTTCCCCTTTACAATGAACATGAAATACTTGGGCACAGTGATGCCTAACAAGAGCACAGATCACACAACAGTTGAGTCAAGTACAGAACACTAATACACAGTTAGGAGCCACTTTGCTTGTACTCAACAACAAAATCATTCTATTACACATTATCTCTTGGATTATGGAGTAGTTCCTACTTTTTCCTACTAAGGACAAAACTTAAGTGCTGATTTAACCTTAAAAATCTCATTTCATTTTAGCTGGCTATTCCTTCCTAAAAGGTTTGAATAGCTAACATTCAAGTTTTTCAGTCTAACAGTTAACATTCCATGTAAAAGTTTACCGTGAGTCTTGGCCTCATTTCTCTTGTGCATATAAAGTATAAAGTACAACTTCTTGAGACTCAATTTTTATTTTCTTTTTTTAGACTCAATTTTTAAAGGTAACTTTCCAGCATCTGTATGTCACATATAAAAAGAAATCGTGTTTTTCCAGTAAGACTCCAGACACTAAACTGTGGTGTCAAAAAAATTTTTTATTTAGCTGGTTCAAAAATTTTTTTAGAATGAATGCATTTAGATGACCAAATAGATTTTTAAAAACAAATCTTTGCCAAATAGTTTAAGTACTTCTAAAGTTCAAAATCTTTTTAGGGTAAAATAAATACCCGTATCTATGCAGTACCATAAACATGTTAATAAAAGGCTACTCAACATTGAAAGCCTTCTAAGACCAGTAACTGAAATTTACACAAGTGTAAAGAAGGGATTAAACCATGCCGTCGACAAGTTAACTTACCCCTGGGCTTCTTGAAGGCTTGTCAGTTTAGTCTTTGGAGGTCCCCGAGTACCATTTTAAGTGTTACCATGTTACTGCTGCTGAGTAATAGTGCAAGTGCTAAAATGCAAAATTCAGATGGTACAGGGTTTGGAAATCATGCAGATTTAGATGCAGATTAAAAAAAAAATTAAAACAACTCAAGATCCCTTTACAGAGGAAACCAAATAATGAAACAATGTGGCGATTACAAGTCTAAAGGATGACTTCATTTATAAATGTTTAAAACACGTAACTTGCAAAATGACAAACCTATTTATCATAATCTAATTAGGTAAGGGCATTAACTACTAACACAACAAATGTCGCATTCTTCCAACTAGAAAATGAGCTCAACTCTCACAGAATTAGTTACAAAAAAGTACAACAGCGAATCAATGTTATTGCTTTTACATACTTAACAATGCATTGTGAGAGTCTGAGTTTTGTAAGTGATTTTATTCAACTTTATTCAATGTTACCACATTCCCCCACCTCCTGGAGGACGAAGCCCATTCCACTTAACACTTCCAGACAGACAACCCACCCTAATTCTTAAAGCTATCAGGCCTCTTAATGGATTTCAGGCACAAGATAATTTGTGGTTTCTTCTACTTTATCCCTATTGCAATTAATTCCACTTTTCAAATCCCAAACTAGGAAGGTACTGATATTCCCTTTTCAATTGATATGCTTTGCTACAAAGCATTAGAAAATAATCAACGTTTTGCCCACTCTCCCAAATAATCTTTTTAGAAGGAATGATTTCCCAATGGAGATTTATACAGGCCATGTAAATAGAACATCACCCAAATGCACAGAGGCACTAAGAAAAAGCCGGAGGGTACTGCTTACCATTTTAGGTGCGGTCACCCAGACTTATTCAAAACTAGATTTCAAAAGAAAAAAAAAAAAACAAAAACAAAAAACAAAAACAAAACAAAAAAAAAACTTTTCACTTTGGCCAATGCAAGAACAAATACCAATTAAGTCTGGGTATCAGGTGTCAATGCATGACAGGTGATGAATCCATTTGACTTGAGACAACTTTTCAAATAAGTTTATTTGAAGCAAAATAAACTACTGCCAAGAAACTTTATGAAAGTTCCATCTCAAAAGGGTCAAAAAAGGGGAATTAACTGCTATGAATTCTTTGCATTCAGGGCTGCAAAACAAAGACACATATTATTTAAATCAGTTTTATTTAAGAATTTCCAACAATGACAACTCTTATAAAAAGCATCCAAGCACAGGACACAGAACTGCAGCAAACAGCATTCTTATGGGTAGCTAACAGACATTAGAACTTCCACCCTTCTTTGAGACACCTGAGCTCACTGGTGAACTCTGCTTCAAGTCCTCCTGCAAAGCACACCACAAGCTCAGTCCATGTTCTCAGCCCATCAGCTTCAGTTCACATTGCCACACTTACATATCAGTAACAGAAGAGAACACACACCATACAGCATTCACAGCAGTTGACAAAGGGGTAGGGGGAGTACAAGTATCATTTCACTTAACACATTCAACTAATGTGGGTTATCTAAGAACAAAAACTCACTTAAAGTCTTCCAACAGATGTGGATGTCCTTTGAATGCAAAAAACATTCGTACATTATTTGCTATCATTGCTCTCTGCACACTCTCTCACCAAAGCCACAGGATTGAGAGACACATCTCGCCAAGTTAAAAAATATCCATTATGCACCACCAAGTCTCTGCACGCGCTCTCTCCTTTTCTCGCTCATACTAGCCTTTCATGCCTCGGCACCACCATCAATCCCACACAAGGTTTCAAAAGTTCAAACAGCCTTCTGGTTCCATATCACAGCCTTGCGTTCATAGCGTTGATACGACTCCATGAAATAAAGAGTAGCGGATAAAAATGGGACACCCACCGTCAAAGACGCGGCCTGTGATGCGTGATGACGAATTCTTGAATGAGAAAGCATGTAGACAGAAGTATTCCTATGGCAGAATATTTACAGCACTACTTTCAATGAAGTGCTTCTTCCATAAACATTTGAAATGAGATGAACTGCAGAGATTAAATGAAGGCTTCATATTGTACTTTTGTATATGAGGGGAGACAAGTGTTAAAAAACAAAACAAAAGAACCAAACACTGTGACACCATGATCTCCTAAAAGGAGATTTTCTTAAGGAAAAAAATCCATATGGTGGGGTTCAAATTAAAACAAGGGGTAAAGAATGTAGTTCTAATCAATGGTTTCCATTTTGAACATGCAAAGAATTCACTTGACAAGTCCAGGGATAAAATATTACAGGAGAAACCCTTTGATATCAATTGTAGTGTGTTGGTTTACCAATCAGGCAAACAGCAGTTCACTTTCAACCACTCAATATTTCAACCTTTCATGTAACAAAACTTATAAAATTCCTTTAGCTCTTCCTTTTTCTAAAGAAAAATGTCAAAAATACTGCTGAATATACTCCACACTGAACAAACCAATTTTGAAAATTCTTAGTACATACGTATTTTACAATATACTTACCATGAGTTTAGAAAAATTTGAATTCCCACCATTCTATACCAACCAACCACAACCCCACTGCCTACATTCCCCAGCCAGAAGACTTAGAATCCATGCTTGAGCCAAAGCCTCCATTAAAACCACTGCCCGACCCTGCATTTGATGCTGATCCCCAACCAATTGCTGCACCAGAATTAGAACCACTATAAGAGTTATTTCCAGAACCGAAGGCCTGGTTTGGCTCCCTCTGCATGTTGCCTTGGCTTTGGTTATTACCCGATGGGCCTGACTGGTTCTGCTGGCTGGCTAACATGCCCATCATACCCCAACTGCTCTGTAGCGCTGCCTGGGCAGCAGCCATCATGGCTGGATTAATGCTGAATGCACCAAAGTTCATCCCACCACCCATATTACTACCTTGATTGTTTCCCAAACCAGCTCCACCCCCTCTGCTATTACCAAATCCACCCTGATTCCCAAAGCCACCTGGATTACCACCAAATCTTCCACTTCTTTCTAACTGTCTATTGCTATTGTGCTTAGGTTCGGCATTGGATATATGAACGCTGATTCCTTTAATGATCAAGTCCTCTCCACAAAGAGACTGCGCAATCTATAAGAAATAAGGGATGTAAACAAAGAAGATTAAACCATTGATTCATACATTTAAAGTAGCAACAAAACTTAGATTACAAGCATTAATTTATCTAAAGCCAGAGGAAAAATAAGCAATGACTGCTCATTTCATTTAAACCCCCAATACAGCTTTTAGTTTTATTAATAGCAGCAGTGATATTTCTGTCGATTTTCAAAAGACATAGGCTGGACATGGTGGCTCATGCCTGTAATCCTAGCGCTTTGGGAGGCCAAGGTGGGAGGACTGTGTAAGGCTAAGAGTTGAAGACTAGCCTGGCAGCCTGGACGACACAGGGAGACCCCACCTCTATTAACAAAACCCCACAAAATGCCACATTAGCTGGGCATAGTGGCATGTACCTGTCCTAGCTACTTAGGAGGCTGCAGCTGAAGGATCCTCCCCTGGAGGCTGAGCCCAGGAGTTCTAGGATGTAGTGAGCTTTGATTACACCACTGTGTTCCACCAGCATGGGCACGGAGGTGAGACCCTGTCTCATAAAAAATTTAAAAAAAGGCGGACCAGGAGCGGGAGCAGTGGCTCACGCCTGTGTCCCAGCACTTGGGAGGCTTGAGGCAGGTGATCCACCTGAGGTCAGGAGTGCAGGACAGCAGGACAAACAGGTGAACCCCGTCTCATACTAAAGATACAAAAAATGGGCCAGGCGTGGTGGCTCATGCCTGTAATCTCAAGCACTTTGGGAGGGGAGGCTTGAGGTGGGTGGATCATCTGAGGTCAGGAGTTTGAGACCAGCCTGGCCAACATGGTGAAACCGTGTCTCTACTAAAATACAATAAATTAGCTAGGCGTGGGTAGCAGGCGCCTGTAATCCCAGCTTCTGGGAGGTGAGGAAGGAGAACTGCTTGAACCCATCTAGGTGGAGGTTTGCAGTGAAACGAGATTGCGCCACTGCATTCCAGTCTGTGCAACAAGGAGCGACTCTATCTCAAACAAAAAACAAAAAACAAACAAAACGGTCATATATACATTCCAAATGCCCACATACTGAAAACTATCTAAAGGTATACTTACTTTTTAGATTTTTAAAAATATAACATTTGGGGATATCAGATACAGGTATCACAAACGTCTAGGCCCATACACCCTACATCTTCCGAGGTCAGAAAACTCAGCTTAAGACTAGCAATTAGCTGGAGGGAAATGTTCAAGAGAAATTACCTCAATTACCTGGGACATATTTTTTTTGAGGACAGTCTTGCTCTGTCACCAGGCTGGAGTGCAATGGCGTGATCTCAGCTCACTGCACTTCCACCTCCTGGGTTCAAGTGATTCCCCTACTCAGGCTCCAGAGTAGCTGGAGACAGGCGGCACCACCATACCCAGGTGATTTTTTTTTTTTTTGTATTTTAATAGGGACGGGGTTTCGCCATGTTGGCCAGGATGGTCTTGATTCCTGACCTCGGTGATCGCCCACCTCAGCCTCCCAAAGTGCTGGGATTACAAGCATGAGCCACCACGGCCTGGTCGACATATTGTTAAGGAGAAAAATACCTGATCATCTGCAAATGTAACAAAGGCAAAGGCCCTGAACGGCTTGGGGATGAAGACATCCATCACATCCATACTGAGAGAAGAACTCCCGCGCTCATCCTCAGTCATGTCCTCTGTACAGGCCGCCACACCACTTTTCTGCTTCTCAAAGGTCCATCTTGGCTTGGCTGATCAAATCAAAAAGGAAGAAAAACCTCAGGAAATATGTTATGAACAATGAAAAAAGCATAAGGTAAGGGATATAACAAAATCATTCTGCCTTGGATAGCAGTGAACATTTAAAAGGTAGACATACCCTTAATTTTTTGCATCAGCATTTTTTTTCTTAAAAGGCTTCAGTGAAGAGTAACGTTTTAAGTTACAAAGATAACAGTCATATATCACATCACGGATGGACATATGTTCTGAGAAATGTATCATGAGCCATTTTACACAATTTTCATTTGTGGCCGGTGTGGTGGTGAAGCGCTGTAATCCACACTCGATGAGAGCCGAGGGGGTGGATCACCTGAGGTCCGGAGGTTCAAGGACCAGCCTGGTGTCACCATGGTGAAACCCAGCTCTACTAATACAAAATTAGGCTGGTTTGGTGTGGCAGGTGCCTGCAATCCCAGCATCTTGGGAGGCTGAGGCAGGGAGAATCACTTGATATCCAGGAGGTGGGGGTTGCAGTCGAGCCAAGATGCACCTTTGCACTCTAGACTGAGCACAAGAGTAAAACTCCGTCTCCAAAAAAAAAAAAAAAAAAAAAAACAGGCTGGGCACAGTGGCTCACGCCTGTAATCCCCACACTTTGGGAGGCCAAGGCAGGTGGATCACCTGAGGTCAGGAGTTCAAAATAAGCCTAACCAACATGGAGAAACCCCATCTCTACTAAAAATACAAAGTTAGCCAGGCATAGTGGTGCATGCCTGTAATCCCAGAAGCTCGGGAAGCTGAGGCAGGAGAATTGCTGGAACCTAGGAAGCGGAGATTGCAGTGACCCAAGAGCACGCCATTGCACTCCAGCTTGGGCAACAAGAGCAAAACTCTGTCTCAAAAAAAAAAAAAAAAAAGCCAGGCGCAGTGGCTGGGCAGATCATGAGGTCAGAAGATTAAGACCATCCTGGCGGCCGGGCGCGGTGGCTCAAGCCTGTAATCCCAGCACTTTGGGAGGCCAAGACGGGCGGATCACAAGGTCCGGAGATCGAGACCATCCTGCCTAACCGGGTGAAACCCCGTCTCTACTAAAAAACTAGCTGGGCGAGGTGGCGGGCGCCTGTAGTCCCAGCTACTCAGTAGGCTGAGGCAGGAGAATGGCGTGAACCCAGAAGGTGGAGCTTGCAGTGAGCTGAGATCCGGTCACTGCACTCCAGCCTGGGTGACAGAGCGAGACTCCGTCTCAAAACAAAACAAAACAAAACAAAAAAGACCATCCTGGCTAACATGGCGAAACCCCATCTCTACTAAAAATACAAAAAATCAGCCAAGCGTGTTGGCAGGCGCCTGTAGTCCCAGCTACTTGGTACTCAGTAGGCTGAGGCAGGAGAATGGCGTGAACCCAGAAGGTGGAGCTTGCAGTGAGCTGAGATCGCACCACTGTACTCCAGCCTGGACAACAAAGTGAGACACTGTCTCAAAAAAACAAACAAACAAACAAAAGATCGTCATTGTGCAAACATCATATAAACCCAGATAGCACAGCCTACCCTACACTTAGGCTAGATGGTATAGCCTATTGCTCCCAGGCCACAAACTTCCAAGTTACTGTACTCAACACTGTAGGTGACTGACTGTAACATGATGGTAAGTATCTGTGTATCTAAACATAGAAAGGGTACCATAAAAACAGTGTTATAATCTTATGGGACCACTGCTGTACACGTGGTCTGCTGCTGACTGATGAACTTTGCCATGTGACGCATGACTGTATTTGGATTTGAGAAAATCAATAAATACGCAATCTCCTGGCAAAGATGATGATGTTCCAAATAAGCAAATGTTATTTGTTTGCTTGGAAAAAGGCCTTTATAACAAGATTAATGTACGTATTCTGATTGTCTTTATGTTTTAACATATAACTATGTAAGAAACTGTTAACTTGACAAATAATCTTTCCTCTTTTCCATGCATAACAAAAAGGAAGAACAAAATGAACAAAGGTTTCATTTGGAGAAGTAATAAACTAAATATTTCAAACAAGCATAAAATATTCAGCATGCATTAAGGGCCAAAGACTTCAACAAGGCAAAAGGATTTCATGAACACACCCTACCACTATCTTTTCTAAGTGTGTTTACATTTTATCTTACAATCTTCTAAGGAAGTTTGTCAGCAAAAAATCCCAAAGCACAGACCCAAGTACCTTAGAATTAGGAAGTTTACAGTCACACCATCGTCCATCTATCATATGTCGCTGTGACATTACTTTCACCTGTGTTTCATATTCCGTAAAACGAACAAAGCCAAACCCCTTTGAATGACCAGTCTTAAGATCTTTCTTGACCTAGAAAGGATGATTTAAGTTTACTCTAACAGTACACATACACACTCCACGCCCAAATCATAGTTCCTTAAAAAACAATTTGAATGGTTTTAACTGGATGCAGCTATTTAAAACTTAAACCAAGTCAGTCTTCAGAGTAAAAACAAGGAGGTTAATATTGAATCCATACCGTGTTAACAATAGAGCAAAACTCACTTATACAACAGAAATGTTTTTGAGTTCTTAAAAAAAAGAGAGATGGGGCCAGGCGTGGTGGCTCACACCTGTATTCCCAGCGCTTTGGGAGGCTGAGGAGGGTGGATAACTTGAGCACAGGAGTTAAAGTCCAGCCTGGGCAACACAGTGAAACCCTATCTCTACAAAAAATACAAAAATTAGCCAGGTATAGTGGCATGCGTCTGTAGTCCCAGCTACTTGGCAGGCTGAAGCACAAGAATAGCTTGAATCCAGGAGGCAGAGGTTGCAGCAAGCCTAAATTGCACCACTGCACTCTAGAGCCTGGCTGACAGAGCCAGACCCTGTCTCCAAAAAGAAAAAAAGAGAAACTGAGTCTGGATTATGTTGGCTAAGGTGGTCTTGAACTCCTGGCCTCAAGCAATCCTCCCACCTCAGCCTACCAAAATGCTGGGATTACAGGCATGAGCCACCACAACAGGATTTTAACAGAATGTCTTAGAACGAATTCAAAGATAAAAAGCTATTATCACCTAATTCCCTTAAGCCTTCATGCAACAGCAGGATTTTACAATATTGAAGGCAATAATATAGAGTACAAGATATGTGTGTAAATATAACAAATATTGGAAGTATCATCTGTGTAACAGGAAGTACAGTGCCATTAAAATAACAAGAATATGGCCGGGCACGGTGGCTCACACCTGTAATCCCAGCACTGGGAGGCCAAGACGGGTGGATCACCTGAGGTCAGGAGTTCAAGAACAGCCTGGCCAACTGGTGAAACCCTGTCTCTACTAAAAAATACAAAATTAGCCAGGCGTGATGATGTGCGCCTGTAATCCCAGATACAGGAGGCTAAGACAGGAGAAATCGCTTAAACCCAGGAGGTGGAGGTTTGCAGTGAGCCAAGATAGTGCCACTGCACTCCAGCCTGGACAGCAAAGTGAGACTTGGTCTCCAAAAAAAAAAAAAAGTAACAAGAATGTGGCTAAGGCATCATGGCTCAGCACACTGGGGTTGAGGCGGGAGGACAGTTTGAGCCCAGGAGTTCAACACCAGAGCATAGGCAACATAGTGAGACCCCATCTCTATGTAAACCAATAAATAAATGCTAGATGCTCATTCACTGTAAAGAAAAACTGTTTGATGCAATCGAAGTTTACCTGCACCATAAGAACTTCTCCAAAGGTACTAAAATACTCTTTCAGGTCCTGTTCAGTTGTTTTCCATGGGAGACCCAACACTATTAAATCGGATGTTTTCTGGACTGCTCTTTTCACTTTCACTGCTGATGAAGCATCTGTCTCATCCATTTTTCTTTTGTTATCTAAATAAAATGAGCAGAAACCTTTTAGACTTAGCACTTCTTTAAAAACACTACCTCCTACATCCAGAAATGAGAAGCAAAAAGAAGACTCTAAGAAGAGTAAGACACTGAAAACTTGCAAGAAGTGATTTTTGCTCTAGAGGACAGAATAAAGGCTCAAGTTTAGTGTCTGAGGTGCTTTTCTGGTGCAAATTCAGTGATTTCCAATTTTGCTTTTTGTAGTACTTCCAGATTATAATCTCTCTCAAAAGGTTTATCAAAACAAAAATAATTCTACTTCACTTTGACTTTAAGTATCAGCAACTTGTATCTCCCGATGTAGATTTAACTTTTATCTTTCCTAAACATTCGACAATACACAGCTTTTGCAATAAAACGGAAAACCAGGCACAGTGGTGTATATGCCTGTAAGTTCCAACAACTCAGGAGGCTGAGGAAGGAAGTTCCAACAAACTCCTGCCTTAGAGTCCAGGAGTCTGAGGCTGCAGGGTGTCTATGAACAGCCACTACAATATGCCTAGGCAACAGAGCAAGAGCCCCCATCTCTAATTTCAAAAAAGAAAAAGAAACCAAAAGTTTGGCTTACTTAAAAAAACATAACCAGCTGGGCATGGTGGCTCACACCTGTAATCCCAGCACTCTGGGAGGCTGAGGCAGGTGGATCACAAGGTCAAGAGTTCAAGACCAGCCTGGCTAAGATGGTGAAACTCCATCTATGCTAAAAACACACAAAAAAATTAGCCGGGCTCGGTGGCAGGCGCCTGTAATCCCAGTTACTTGGGAGGCTGAGGCAGGAGAATTGCCTGAACCCAAGAGGCAGAGGTTGCAGTGAGCCAAGATTGTGCCACTGCACTCCAGCCTGGGCGAGACTTTGTCTCAAAATAAAATAAAATAAATAAATAGATAAAAATACAAAAATTAGCCGGGCGTGGTGGCAGGCGCCTGTAATCCCAGCTACTCAGGAGGCTGAGGCAGAGAACTGCTTGAACCCCAGAGGTGGAGGTTGCAATGAGCCAAGATCGCGCCACTGCACTCCAGCCTGGGTGACAGAGCAAGACTCCATCTCAAAAAACAAACAACAACAACAAAAAACTCCTACATAACCTTAACCTTAGGTTATTTAGAAGAGAAAGGGAGATAATTTTTTTTTTTTTTTGAGACGGATTCTCATTCTGTCACCCAGGCTGGAGTGCAGTGGTGTAATCTCCCCTCGCTGCAACCTCTGCCTCCTGGGTTCAAGTGATTAAGTGATTCTCCTGCCTCAGTCTCCTGAGTAGCTGGGATTACAGGTGTGAGCCACTGCGTCCGGCCTGGAGAGATAAATTAAATGACATTGTTTTCTTTTTTTTGAGACAGTGTCTCGCTCTGCTGCCCAGGCTGGAGAGCAGTGGCACCATCTCAGCTTACTGCAACCTCCACCTCCTGGGTTCAAGCAATTCTCCTGCCTCAGCCTCCCCAGTAACTAAGACTACAGATGCAAACCACCGCGCCTGTCTAAGTTTTGTATTTTTAGTAGAGACGGGGTTTCACCACGTTGGCCAGGCTGGTCTCGAACTTCGGACCTCAGGTGATCTGCTCACCTCAGCCTCCCAAAGTGCTGGAATTACAGGTGTGAGCCACTGTACCCAGCCTGACATTTTAAATTTGGGTATTAAATATTAATCTATACCCAATGGCTGAAGAAACAGCATACTAAAAACCCCCAGTTTACATTATTAATTATTATTATTATTTCATTATATATTTTTTTGAGACAAAGTCTTGCTCTGTCACCCAGGCTGGAGTGCAGTGGCACAATCTCAGCTCACTGTAATCTCTGCCTCCCAGGTTTAAGCGATTCTCCTGCCTCAGCCTCTAGAGTAGCTGGGACTACAAGGCGCCCGCCACCACACCCAGCTAATTTTTGTTTTCGTTTTTTTTCTTTTTGTTTTGAGACGGAGTTTTGCTCTTGTTGCTCAGGCTGGAGTGCAATGGCATAATCTATTCACTGCAACCTCCGCCTCCCGGTTCAAGTGATTCTTCTCCTGCCTCAGCCTCCAGAGTAGCTGGGATTACAGGCACCCACCACATCCAACTAACTTTTTGTTTTTAATAGAGATGGGGTTTCATCATGTTGGCCAGGCTGGTCTCAAACTCCTGACCTCAGGTGATCCACCCGCCTCGGCCTCCCAAGTGCTGGGATTACAAGCATGAGCCACCGTGCCTGGCCCTAAAGTTTTTCTACACATGTAAAAGAGTGTCTTGCATACTGACCAAATTTGATAAGACTTTGTTGCAATACCAAGTTATAATAAAAGGAACACACAGATCGACTATTAACAGTACACTACTTCAAAATGCGAAAATTAGCTATTTCTCATGCTTCCTTTTCTTAGATTTAGAACATCAGTGATAAGAGGCAGCGAGAAGGATAAGACTAGAACCTCAAAATTGTAATTGGAACTACACTAATTCAAGATTTGGCTACTGCAACTGTTTGTTCATTTAAGGGAAGAAATGAAGTCACATGTGCCAAATGAATGATGTAAGACCAAAAGGACAATGATCAAATCCAAATACTCGAGCACTTCAGAAGAATCTATTTACAACACTGATAGAAGCGCAAAACATTATTAGTAATTCCTTAAATTTGGCATCAACTTGGTAAAGCTTATTCAGATATTTTTAAAATACATCGCTTTCTCTTTTAAAATGATCTATAATCCCCAGTTTCCATAAATTTAGACTCATGGTCTTCCAAACTTGTCTAATAGTGAAGTTCAAGGAAATACTGAAGTTACAGGAGACATTCTGCCAGGAAACAAGGCTAAGATCCATGGATGAGACACACACCCGACCACATTTCAGCATGATTACAAAACCAAATAGTAACAAACCTTTCGGATAGTTGACAACATACACCAGATTTCCCCAGCCAGCATCGGGGGCATGCAGAATTCCTTCTACCAGTCGGACACCTCTCATACATTGAGACACTGGATTCCTGTAGCGAAGCCCACACGCCCCTGGAAACTGGGCTGTGACCGTGGACAGCAGCACCGTCCCATCGTCTTCCGATGGTATTTCAATGGGCTCATCGTTCTCATCTTCGGTTACCCGAATATATTCAGACATCTTTTACTTTTCTTAAAGGGAAAAGAGATATGAATGAACAACATTCACGTCACAGTAACTGTTTCCTTATAACGATAATACCCAAACCATCTTAGTGTTCTGACTTCCAGAAAAATTCTTGTCTGGATTCGTACATGCATTGGTTATCTCTGAAAAATGACGAGGTGAAGGTTAAGGGTAGTGATTTCCTGTCAAAATCTGATGCCTCGCCAGTTCATTCATTCAAAAAACTTTCCCTGAAGGCTTATAGATGCGTCAGGTACTGAAACTGAGTCCAACGTGGCTTTCTGGTTACAAGCTGGGGTATGCAAGGGAACAATAAACAGTAGCTATTTTATGACCATCGTGGAAGTCGTTAAGTAATCCTGAAAGTAGGGGAAGAGCCTAACTGGCTGAGGCATGGGCGTGATGGGTCCAAGTCGATCTTCCTAAGCAAGCGATCCATCAGCTGAACCTGAAGACTGAATATGGGCAGTGAATCAGGTGTAAAGAACAGGAGAAAAGTTCTTCTCTGTTCCTCATTTTGGAGCTTCCGGGAGCTCCATGAGCCCGAGCCGCAAGGCCCGCGGCGACAGGTCCTGGCGGAGCCGGCCGCCGCCTCCCAGAAGCCCGCGCGTGCCAGCCGAGGGAGGAGTTTCTCAGCGCGGCCCGGGGTGGGGCGCAGGAGCACCAGGCCCGAGCTGGCAGCGTCCCTCGGAGTACAAAGTACCGAAGGCTCCAGCACTGTCCGGGTCCGGGGCCAACCTCCGCCTCAGCCTGCGCGGCACCACGGGCCCGGCTCCCCGTTTCTGCACCAGCGGCCTCCCTGTGCCCGGACCTGACGACGCTCCCGCGCGAGCCCGCTCGGGCAGAACTAGGCCCGGTCTCACGACTCACATCCCGGGGCAGGGGCCGAAGCCGCTGCGTCCGCCTCGGGCCGCCCCAATGCGGGAGCCGAAGCACCTACGGCATCCTCAGTGAGAAGGCTCCGCGACTCACCCACTAGGCCGCTGCTGGGAAGCCCGACAGGGACACCGAGGCAGCGACGGACCCAAGCGCAGCCCAGCGACCGCTTCGCTCCCACAAAATGGCGCTAGGGCCGCCTCCTTCCCCCCGCCCACCGGCGTCCTCTCCCACCGGTTGCCCGTCCGGAGGTGGAAGGCGCCGAGGAGAGCCATGATGACCCTCTCCCCAGGGACTCGGGCTGCCTCTTGGAAATTCGAGCCTGCAGAGAAGCTCTGAAAGCTAAAATAAAACCAGGACCTAGGCCTGAAAAGCTGAAGATTGCAAAAAGTGTGGCTGTATAGGCGCTGACCTCCCCCCATGTAACGCAGCAGATGGTTTCGGCCGACCAACCGCCGGCCCAGGTCTCGGTCGGAGCTCGCGCACTTTCAAAGAGCGCGAGAGTAGCGCAGAGTCTCGGCCGGCAAGAGCGGAGCGGGGCGGGGCGTGGAGGGGGCGGGGCTCGGGATCCCGGGCCCAGTCCACTTGCGAGACACGGTAAAGCCTGGATCTCTTTTCTGAAAGGCGGACCTGTGCGTCCTCTCCTCCCTCCGCCAGCCCACCTCCAAACCTGGAAACAATAACTTTGTTCTAAATAATAGCAGTAATAGCGCTACTTTGTACCAGGTACTTTCTGAGTATTCGCATATTTAATAATAGCCCATACAGTTTGGTGTAGGAGGAACTATTGATACTCATTCTGCGGGTGAGGAAACTGAGGCACAGAGAGATCAAGTATCTTGCTTAAAGTCACGCAAGGATTAGCCGGGCGGTAGTGGCGCGCGCCTGTAATCCCAGCTACTCGGGAGGCTGAGGCAGGAGAATTGCTTGAACCCGGTAGGCGGAGGTAGCGGTGAGCCGAGTTCGTGCCACTTCACTCCAGTCTGGGCGACAAGGTGAGACCCTGTCCTCCTCCCCCCGCCAAAAAAAAGTCACCCAAGGAATAAATGGTAGACCTGGAATTTGAATCTCGAGGCACAAAATGCTAACTAGTTCTGGCTCCAGCCCTCTAATAATAATAATAATAATACAGTACTTCATCTATTTTAAGGCACACTTTTTGTTTCTTTTTTTTTTTTTTTAAACGGAGTCTCGCTCTTGTACCCCAGGCTGGAGTGCAGTAGCGCAATGTGCAGCTCACTGCCACTTCCACCTCCAGGTTCAAGGGATAGCTGGGATTATAGGCGCGCGAAGACACCATGCCCGGCTAATTTTTGTAATTTTTAGTAGAGGCAGTGGCCATGTTGGCCAGGCTGATCTCGAACTCATGGCCTCAAGTGATCTGCCCGCCTCGCCCTCCCAAAATGCTGGGATTACAGGCACGAGCCACCTTTCTTTTCTATCTTTTCTTTCTTTTCCTTCCCTCCTTCCCTTCCCTCCCCTCCCCTTTTCTTTTCTCTTTCCCTTCCCTTCCCTTCCCTTCCCTTCCCTTCCCT